GGGGGGGACAGAGAGGGAGAGGGAGAGGGAGAATCCCAAGCAGGCTCCACACAGTCAGGGCAGAGCCCGAAGTGGGGTCCGAACTCACAGACCGCGAGATCATGACCTGAGCTGACAGAGGCACCCGGCGCCCCTGAGGAAGGCTCTGTAAACAGCAGAGCATCGGCTGTGCTTCGAGCAGGGAGGTGTGAGTGGATAACACGGGGCTGTGCCTCCCGGCTTCTGGGTTCAGCGCGGTCCCAGGCTGTGCCTGGGGCCCGAGGACAGAGGGACACTCTGTTAGGAGGCCGGTGGGTCCTGAGGCACCAGGAGAACCAGCCCAGGTGGGGAGGGGACACCAAGGAGAGAGCGAGGACCACAGCGCGTCCCCATCTTGGGGACCAGTCTGGGCCAACGCGGCCATCATCTAACAGCAGTGTGACTGTGTCGCCTCGGGCAGCTCACTGTCCTTCTTTGAGCCTCAGTTTCCTCATCTGTAAAATGGGGGGGGGACCTTCCTCCTGTCTCCCAGGTGACAGGAAGGACCCGATGAGCTAATGCACCGAAAAGGAGTCAGGCACGAGCTTGGTCCCCAGGGCCTTGGCCTGGCTTTGGCTCTGCTGTCCTGGGAGCCCTCATCCCCCAGGGCCCTTCGCGGCCTCCTTCTGAACCAGGCCCTCAACGAAGGGTCAAGGGTCAAGGGCAGGAAGCTGGTGTAAACAGTTCTGCCAGAGCACCCGGTGTGCGGAGCCCCTGGGGACGAACGGACGAACGAGAGAGACAGAGAGACAGACGGAGACAGAACCAGAGATGGGGGAGACAGAGAGAGAGACAGACGGACGGACGGAGACAGAGGGGGAGGACCGAGCTGGCGCCTTGCTCTGATTGGGGCTTAGCCCACCAGTGGGCCAGCTCTGGTTTGGGGCAGCTGGAGGGCTTGCTTTACGCCCATCTTTGCCAACAGGGGTGCGAGAGCCCACCTGCCCCGTCGGGGGGCGCCTGGGAGGCAGGTCAGGACCCCGGCCCCTGCACTAGCCGTCACCTCCCGTTAGCCAGTCCGGCGCTCAGCCTCAGTTTCCGCATCTGTGCAACGGGATGACCGCGACGTTTCAGACCTGGCTTTCAGGGGGTAGGTAGGAAGTCGCGGGGAGCCCTCTCCTGGGGCCGGCAGCCGCCGTTAACCCCACCGCGCCCAGGAGGGCCCTCAGCCCGGCTCCCGAGGCAGGCACGTGGGGCGCAGCACACAGGAGGCTCCCCCTGCCGGGCACCGAACCTTAGCTGCCCTCACCAGGGGGGACGCCGGGGGCCGAGGGGTGCCTCCCTGCCAGCACCCGGACCCCGGCCCCGGCCAGCGCGGACCCCAGGAAGGGACCGCCTGCGCCCCCGCCCCCCTCCCCGCCGGCCACCCACGGAGGTCCTACCTGCAGAAATCAGCAACGAGAGGACAGCGAGCACGTTCAAGGACTGCTGGCCACAACTGGTCATCATTCGGCTTGCATCGGTCCGTCGAGAGCCGCCTGGGTAACGAGATCCGGGGGAGGCCGGGTGTGGGCCGCCCTGCCTGCGGGTGCAGGCACTGGCCGGCGGGGGGGACACGGGCGGGGACGCGTGTGCGCTGGGAGCGGGGGCCGGGCCGGGGCTGATGGAGACCATGCCATCCAAGTTCCTTTCTGGAATGAATGACCCCCCCCCCCCCCAGGCCACCATCACCTCCACTTCTCTGCACGGCAAAATGAGACTTGATCCAAGGCGGACGGATGGCTCAGGTGCAGAAGGGACTGAGGCCGGTGGGCCGGCGCCCGGAGCGCAGGGGGGCGAGAATGGCCGTGTAGCGTGGGCGGGGGGCGGTTGGCAAGGGCCGGGGCACCTCCGGGGGCCCGCGGGACCCGGGTCTCCCCGCTGGGCCGCTGGCAGTGCCTCCCATCAGCCCCTCCGCCAGTCGGCCCGGAGCCCGGCACCTTGCAGGCATCGGGGGCACAGCAGTGGAGGAAACAGACGCCAAGTGGAACCGCGGGGACTCTGGCCGCGCCCGGCGTGCCTTCCGGCGACGGAGCGCAGACAAGCAGATGAATATTTAAAACGCTGCGAGGCTCCCGGGGACGCGCCCTGAGGAGCTGGCGGCCGGGACGCACACAGACACTGGCACGCTCACGTTCACGGCGGCCACGGGGCACGACGGTAACGGGCGGAACAGCCCTGGTGTCCGCGGGTGGGTAGGTGGGGAAACAGAAGGCGGCCTATTCACGCGGCGGAAGAGGATCCGGCCTCCCACAGGACGGGGATGCTGACCCGGTGCCACAGCGCGGATCAACCCCGGGGGACGTCGCGCTGGGTGAAATGAACCTGACACCAAAGGACAAACCCCGTGGGATTCCACTCACATGAGGTCCCCGGGCTCGTCACAGAGACAGCGAGCAGGACGGTGGGCGCCAGGGGCGGGGAGTTCGTGTGCAATGGGGGCAGGGAAAGAGTCTTGGAGGCGGGGTGGGGTGGTGACCGCGAAAGGGCTCGGTGACCGCTGAACGGCACGTTAAAAATCGTTAAAACGTGAAGTTTATGTTATGAGTATTTTACCGCAAGAAACGAAGCTACGAGGGGGAATAAAGCCAGGGGTCGGAGGAGGGATGCAGAGTGGTGCGGGGGGGCGCAGACAGGGTGGTGGGGAGGGCCTCGGGCGGAGGCGACGGCCGGCAGACCCGAGGGAGGCAGGATAGAGCAGTGTGGCTGTGGCCGTTTGGAGGAACCGTGCTGCAGACTAGGGAGAAGCAAGTGCAAAGGCCCTGGGGTGCGAGCAGCCCGGAGGCCAACGGGGGACCGTGGGGGGGTTGCGGGTAGCAGGAGGCCACCTGAGGCAGGGCCTGGGCCCTCAGTGGCCACGTCACATCAGGTGAACCTTGCCAACATCACCCCCTCCCTGCAGGCGCGTGGGAGTGGAGGCTGCGGGAAAGGAGAAACTCTGGGTCAACGGCGTGGCTGAACCTGAGTCCCAGGGGGCTGTAAGCCGCGTGTGGCTGCGGGGAGGTGTAGGGACTCGGGATGGGGATCAATCTGCTGAGCACCTAATACGCGCCACGTTCTGGTTCCGCACTCTGCACTCTTCCCTCGTGGCACCCCGTTGTGGCATCCGTGTCCACCCAGATCCTTAGGCTGCAGTCCTAAGAGCCCCGCCCCTCAGAATGGACGCTTATTTACAGTAGAATTGTTGCAGACGTAGCTAAGGTGAGGTCACCCTGGACCCCCATCCAGCACGACTGGTGACCTTCTAAGAAGGGGAAATTTAGACACAGAGACATGCCCAGAAGGGAGGCCACGTGAAGACGCAGGCAGAGGTTGGGGTGCTGCATCCACAAGCCAATGAACCCCAGAGATGGCCAGCAAACCTCCAGAAGCTTGGGGAGAGCCTCGCGGACGCTCCCTGGGGCCGCCCAGAAGGATCCAGCTCTGCCCACACCTTGATGTCTGGCCTCCAGGTTGTGAGGGCACACGCTTCCGTCGTGTGAGCCCTCGGTGTGTGGGGCTTGTTCCGGTGGCCCCAGGACCCTGCCACGGACCCTCCCGTGGGAATCGCCCCAGGAAGGGCTGGGATCTGCACTGAGGTGTGAGGGGCGCTCACCTGGGAGCCTACCCAAAGTGAGGATGGAGAAGGCCTGGCCAGCCCCCTCCCCGCCCCGTGGAGACCCCGCGCGCCCTCCCGGCCAGGCTGTACCCCCACGTTTTGGGGGGCCCTCGCGCCCTCCATCCTGGTTCTGCTGTCCGTGCGATCCTGTCTCCGCATTTGGTGGAGCCCTCCACCTCCCGGGGAGAGCAGGGCACACGCCATAGAGATTCGCTGCCAGAAAACACAGTTCTGGAAGAGGGGACCGGGAAGGGCAGGGTGCAGTCCACAGGAATGGCCTTCTGACCCGCACCCGCCCCCCACCCCAGACTGTCCTGGGGCACCTGCTCTGGGCCCGCGCCCGGGGCCATCACAGCTGGTTTGTCCTCGCCCTCCGGAGCTCACCAGCCCATCAGGGAGGGCACAGGGGCACCAGCTGGGGTCCGAGGAGACCCTGAGTCCCACTGACTGGTGGCAGGCAGAGCGGGAAGCCACCCTGGGAAACCCAGAGGCTGGACACCTGGCAGAGAGGAGACAGGACCAGACTCCAGGCCAAACGCAGGGAGCAGACGGCTGGGCCCGGCCGGCCACTCGGGCCTCCCTCTCTCCCGGAGCGCGGGCAGCGGAGTGGACCGAGGCTGCCGGGTGTTGTTCTTCTAGAACGTGAGCCAGTGGGGGATGGCGTGAGTGTAAGAGCTGAAACACCTTCATGGGGTGGTGACTCAGGCTGACGTGGCGCGTCAGCCCCTGGGGAAGGGCCCCCCCACCTCTCCTGCGGGCCTCTCTGCGCCCACCGCCCACCGGAGCCCCACGGGCTGTAAGCTGCTTAATTGCTCTGAGCCTGGGCCTCCTCCCCGCCTCCCTCAGGGCCCTCCTGGGAGGATGAAGGAGATTAAAGCATTTCAAAGTGCTTAGCAAGGATCTGCACTTAGGAAACCCAAGGATCTATCCGGGAAAAGGCACCGCGGGGGTGGGGAGCGACAGGTCCCCTGACACAGCCCCTCCATGGCTCCATTCTGTAGGTGAGCAAGCCGAGGCCCACGGAGGGCCGACACGGGTCTCCAGACTCCCGGGCCCTGGCCCTTGTAGGATGGGGCGGCCCCGGTTTGGGAGCCAGGCCTCCAGTCCAAGGGCCGGTGGGTTTGTTGAATGAACCCTGGGGTTGGGGAGGGGTGGGGGTTCCACCTCTGCCTTGCACTCCCTCCTGCCAAGCCTGCCCCTACGCAGCCCTCCATATCCTGGGGGGGCTGTGTCCTCCTCTCACTCCTGGGAGCCCAAAGCCTGTGTCACCCTAGAAGTGGCTCCAGGAGGCCTGCCTTGACCCCATCAGCTGGGAGAAGTTTGTCCCTCCAGAGAGACCGCTCATGTTCCATCACTTCTCTCATTAAAGCGTTAACACGTTTCTTCATTCACCGGTTCTCTCGATACCCACTCACTCACCCCCACTCTGGGACAGGGTCCGAGCTGGGTTCCAGGGACAGGGAAGAGGGCGCGGGCCGGGCACGGACGCCCAGCAGCTCTACCTTCTGTGACCGGTCCCCATGCTCTCTTCCATCAGGCCATGAGGGTCCTGGGCTGGGGCCCTGCCAGCTGGGGGCCACGGCCACGGAGCCTGGGCTCCAGAGTCTGGCCAACACCGGCCTCGGGCCGTCAGGCCTGCCTGGGACGGGCCGGGAGAGGGGTACTGAAGCTGGCCTCGGGGCCAGCAGACTGCGGGCGTGTGGGCCCAGGACGCACTGCGGTCACATTTGTCCCCCGTCCAGAACCGGTCTGCTCAGACTCCACGGCCCGGCCGTGCTCCCCACCCCCACCCCGGGGCTGCCTGGGCATGAGTCAAGGCAGGGGGATGGGAGGGGGCAGCGGAAGCCACAGCCTTGTGGGTGGGGGCGCGGGGGACCACGGAGGGGGCACTGCCCTACCTCCCCGGGTGCTGGGGGCAGCTCAGGTGCCAGAACCGAAGGCTGAGTCTGTGGAGGAAGAAATACCCATCGCTGTCACGCGGGAAGTTACATAAAAATTCCATTTCTAACGAGACAGCAAAACTCAGAAGCCGTCCCCGGCCGGGTCAGAAAGTGGCTTTGGAAGGTCCGTGGCCTCGGTGGCCAGCTGTGCTCCTTGGTCTGTTCGCAGGGGTGACGCGATCCACAGGACCCACATTTACAAAGCCCAAGCCTTCGCGGGGTCTGCAGCGGGGGACGTGGGTTCAGGGACTCTGGGTTCAGGTGAAAAGGGTGTGTCGTGCCATCAGGTACTGCCCCGAGACCCCCACAGGTGACCCTGTGGGGAAGGGGGGGGACCCTTCCTCCCGCCGGGTGGCCCTGGGTCCAGCTTTCTCTGGCTGAGCACCGCCACCCCCATCCCCCCCCCCCCCCCCCCATCCCCTGAGTAGCGGGCGCTGACTTTTCACTGCGTAATCTCAGGTAATTCCGTCCCAGGCGGGAGAGGCAGATCACCAAATGCGGCTCGTAAAGAAGGAAACTGAGGCTCAGGGTCACATAAGCCACTCAGCGGCTCAGACAGGAGGCCAACCCGGCCTACATCTTGCTCTCCATCTCAGACCTGCAGGAGTTTCCAGGTCTTCCCCGGCACCCCCGAGAGAGCCCATTTCCCACAGACAGATCAGATTTATTGTCCTGGGTTCTATCTCCTTGGAAATTGGTACATGGCTCGTTGGCCAGCCATAAAACTCAAATAACTGGGAGAACGTTCTGGATGAGCAGGACTCCCCTGAGCTCTGACCGCATCCAGAATCACGAGTCGGGCACGCATCTCTGCGGTCCACCCCTCGGGTCAGCCGGGGACTGCTGTTCCCAGATTCGAGGATTATTTTTAAACACCGAATTTGGCGAGGCTGGAGAGGAGAGGAAGGAGGGCATGTGGCGAGAAACAGAGC